TTGGATCTTAAATGTTGATAGGATCCATACTGATAACATTGTGGCGTCTTCCATGTTTCATATTTATCATCTGGACATGGATTTCTATGTGTATGGAACCAGCTTTGTGAATTAAATCCCAATGGTATTTTTTTTTTTTTTTTTTTTTTTCCAGTTTTATTTTTTTTATTATCTGAACTACTATACTTTGAGTTAGTGCATTGTATCTCTTTTTGCTGATCCATGACAGGCCTTTTTTGAAAGTTTCTGCAAATGTTTTCATAGGCATCAAGTTTTTCAGCTAATTTTTTAGATGAAATCATCTCTATTCACTCATCAAGAAAATGATCTCGAATTTCAGGAGGAACTCGACGTTTAAGTTGGTCAAGCACCATCAAATCTAGCAACTGATCAAAAGTCTCAACTCCTAGACCAGTTACCCATTCTTTGCAGTAATTTTCTATTTCATAATTGAAATCAACCCATGTGGATTCGTTACTCTTTTGATGTTCATAAATTTCTGCCTAAACTTTTCCAGTCTTAGCTTAAACCGTCTTAACAATAAATTCTTCGCGTGTTCATAGTTTTTAGCTTTATCGGAGGGTTCTCTAGTTGTTAACTGTGTTACTTCATAAGGAAATAGTCCTAGTAAATGAGACACAAATTCTTCTTTATCAATTTGAGTCCATTCTGCTTGCCTTTCAAACAATAGCAAATATAGACTGATATCTCCTTTCTTATCATTGAATTTCTGCATAAGGTGATGCAACTTTGTTTAGTTTGAAACTTTATCTTTGCTTCAAGTCTTAATCTCTCCAAGTCATAATGTTCTTTCCTTCTCCGCTCTTCTGCTTCTTCCTGCCTTTTTTCCCTTTCCTCCCTTTCTTTTTCGTTCTTCTCTTTCCGTTCTTCTCTGTCCCTTTCCTCCCTCTCTTTCCGTTCTTCTATTATTGTGTCTAAGACTTCTTTGACGAATACTTCATCATAATAACTGCTTTCAACAATTTTCTGTTTTAAATCGACTATTTTCAAATCTGCAGTCACATGAACTCCCAGTTCAGCCACAAGATTTTGCAAATCTTCCTTACAATCTCTTCCTAAGTAAGACATTGTTTCTATGTTTAAAATTAATGAATAGTGTTCTTTATACTTCCTCAAAATAGCTCAAATCAAACACTTTAATTAATTTAGACAGCTAAAATAAATATTAAGAATAATATACAATACAGTAATAAAAGACAATTCAATATTAACAGAAAGTAATAATCTGGTATTACTAATTATTACATTCAGTGATGAACTTATAAAAATAAAAATACGCACGATTGTTCGATCTCGCCGGTGCTTCCAAAATAATTATGACTATACTTCTTTCGCAATATGAAACAAACTCCATTGATGGAACACATAAAAAATATTTTTATTTAATACTCAAAATAGCGACATACAAACCAGAAAAGAAAACGTAATCTAACATAAAAAAAAAAAAAAAAAAAAAAAAAAGGTTCATCGTGGGGCTCTCGAGCCTGCGTTACAAACATTGCCGTTAACATTGCATTAAAGTTTATTTATTTGAAAATATAACATTTTAATAACAATATTAAGCTGTTACACCATAAATTTTAACATGCATTTATCATAATTTCATATTACTTATTTGTACTAATTTCACTTATTTTTTATATCCACTTCATTTTGAGAATAATTACAAAATTCTTATTAAAAATTTTCTACACTAATTCAAAAATATAATTATTTATCTTAATACCTTCCCTCAAAATAGTTAAAAATCTAACAAGTCTTAAATACTTTACTAAATTATTACAATTCAAATTTTTAATATCATTAAATAATATTTTTTCATATCACAGTGCTACATTTTTAATATCTGATTTATTAAGAAACATATCAGTTCCCAATGTGGATTCAATTATGCAAAAGCAGAAGTGAAAATAATTTTCTGGCACCTACTTCAAGTGTAATTTTAATCCTGTAACTGGCAAAAGAAGATACTAATTTATTCGCATAAGAGCAGTATCAAGATATGCAGTTCATTGACTTTCAAAGCGCTGGAATGATTTGAAACGTTGGCCTTCTGAAAATACTCATCATTTTACAGTAAACAAACACTGGATTAATTTTGAACGGCTGTATTTCACTATATTTCATTTTTAAGCACTTGCAGCAAATCTATGATTCGATTTTTTTTTCCTTCTTCACATTTTCATAGTACTGTTGAATTAAATTGCACTTATTAAATCACTGCATATGCTGGATGAAATTTAGAAGAATAAACATTTAAAATCTGTAACACACTACGCTTGTTTGGGCATGATTTGGTGCAGTTGACTTGCTAATTTCAGATGGTTCACATAGATTGACTGAGCTGTAGATGTCTTGAAGATTAGCACATAAAAACATTAACTAATTCTCCTTCACAATCATAGGCACAATTTCGATGACAACACTTCAGGGAATCACAGGTACATATCCTACCAACTCTCTTTAAATGTGCTAATTTCAGCAAGTTACCTTTTTTTTTTTTTTTTTTTTTTTTTTTTTTTTCCCCACATTTCAAATTATCTCTTTGGCAAACAAATTACTTTCAATCATTGCCAAATGCAATAAATTTTAATGTAACAAGCAAAAAGATACGACATCATTTTAGGCAGGGAAGTATAGTTGCACACAGTTGTTTGCATGTCAGGAGTCAGGAAAAAAGGGAGGCATAATTGTCATGAAGCAATATTTATAGTATGTAGGTGCATAAGTAAAGTTAAGTCGTGATTGGTTAATTTTAATTTTAGTTACCTTTTTTAAGCAGTGGTATGTAATTTGAAAAGATCTCAAATTTGGGAAAACACCAAAATTAGAATAGTTAATTTTGAGGTTGCCAATTATTTCTTAACATAGGTATAGTATTTTATTATATCTTACATATATATATATATATATGTAAGTGAATGAAATGAGAACATTCCTATCAATAATGCCAATTCAGTCAATGCTAGGAAATACAATTTGAAGTCAACATTAATTCCAATCAACTAAGTCATAATAAGAAAATAAAGAAAGCAAAAATTTAAATTAAAAGCCAAAAGATCAAATAGGAAATAATTTTTTGCAAAGGCTTTTTAAACATTGCCCAAGAAAAATATTGCCTTTCAAGCACTAGCTAATAGTTGTTTAAAAGCAAATTCAATTGAATGCCAGTAAATGAAAATTTAAAGAAAAATGAACAATTGAAAAGTTGTGAAATAATGCTGACTCATCAGGAGGAATTAGTTTATTTCACCCCCTTCACAACTGCTCGGGCATCATGTTTCATCCTTGTCATGCATATGTAATTTAAAAATTTCTATTAAATTTCATTATCCAAATTTAGCTAATCCATATACATGTCAAGAATTCCCTACATGATTAAATGAATTTAAAACATTCATTTAAAAATGCAAAAACATTAGAACAATACACAAGTATCAAATCAATAAAAAGCACAAAACATGTAAAAAATGTGTAAATGAACTTGCAGATGAAAATTTAAACAAAAGGAGAATGCGTTACTATAAAAATTTCAAATGCATGAAATGCACATATTTGAAATAATAATAAATAGGCCAAAAAAGTTGTGTTTTATAAAAGAATTTTTGAATGGTCTACTATCTCGCTGAAAACTCAGGCCAGGCACATCTACATGGCTGTTGAGAGATTTGTCAAGAAGTCTCATAAAGCATGAAGATACATTTGACTTCTAAACAGATTTTAGCAGAAAAAGGACATGGCCCCAGAAAGCTTATATAAATGCTTAATATATTCTATAATTGAATGTTGTATAATAATCTCTAATATTAATATTTAATTTTATAAAATCTACAGCTCTTAAGTATTAGCAGTTAATCAAAAAGTTTAGGGATTTTGTTTTGATAGTTTCATATTTTAAGAAATGTCAGAAGGATTTGATTTTCATTGCAATAGTGATAGAAAAAATTGCTGTAATAGTATGTGAATATTGCATTATATTTAGTACTTTTATTGTAATAGTGATAGAAAAAATGTATCTGAAAATTAATTTTCTGATGTAGTACAGATTATTCTCATATTATTCATATCCAGTCAGAAGGTATTGTGTATAAGTAACTGAAATTACTGAACTACAGTTTATGCTGATTTTATATTGTTTCCAAAGTTTTTGGATGAATTCTCCTTATTTTTAATAATAAAAATTTGATTTGTTGTCTCATTGTTTTAGTTTACAAAAAGAACTATAAAAACGGGATGTAGTTTTTATGTAACTATCCTAATTGCTTGCTATTTAAATTTTTAAAGTAAGCTAAATAATTTTGTATAGTAATGTTGACCCTGCTCAGTGATGGCAAATATTAAACATAAAAGGCATCATATTTAATGAAATAGTTGTTAATTTTCATTAGAAGTATTATTTGTAACAGTTCTCTCCCTTTTTTTTTTTTAAATTTATTATTTTGAGGTTCTAACAACGTTTTAAATCAGGTTGCATTTCAGCACCTTGATAATGCCTAATTAAGTCTGTATATATTGTTGCTGGTTTGCCATGCCAGCTTTGATTGATAAGATATGCATTCAGAATGCAGCTTTTTAATTATTATTATTATTATATTTTTTTTTTTTTTTTTTTTTTTTTTCAAATGCTCTTTAAATACAGGCGAGTTGCAATTTGAAAAGACTGACCTTCATAAGGGTGCCCTGGCATAAAGGTGGCATTCTTATAAAGATCAATTTCTAACTTGCAAAAGCAACCTTTGTAATGAAATTTGAAAGTATCGTCTAAAAATAAATGTTATGAAAGCATTCTGAAAATAAAACTATGAGTAATAAATTATTCTGAAGAGCCTTGTTGCTAAACTGTACTAAAGATTTATAACTGTTGAAATTGTTGTTCAAATCAACAGGAATAATTTATTGGGAAATTTATTCATGATGTGTTTTTTAAATTATGTTAAAAAGTCCGTTATGTTGATCACATAATATTTTTATTTTTCCAGGTTTCATGGACGATGAATATAATGGCTTTGCTGGTAATTATGGTAATGGCTATGGTGGATATGGTTTTAGTGGTGGAGGATTTGGTAATATGGGTATGTTTGCTTTTTCCGTTATCAAGATAATAATTATAACATATCAGAATAGGGAGGCCATATAAGTTTATAATGTGAAATATCTTAAATGAGATGTTTCAATAAGAAATATTACAAAAAGTAAATCAACTTTAAGAGGGGAGATGATTGTTATGTAAGTTATTTATGAAAGACATTTTAAAAGATCTGATTTTTGAAAGCCTTTCTTATTTATTTAGAAAACAGTTTTACAGATATTTTAAAAATAAATATTGATAATAGCAAGTCATGTTATTTTATAAGCAACTAATAGAGTTTTTATATTTTTTTTATAAATGCTGAATGTGATGCCTGTTTCAATGAACTTTTCTCTCTCTTTTTTTTTTTATTTTTTTTAAAGAAAAGTATGGTGTGCACATAAAGTTAATTCTCTCTCTAATAACACATATAGTTCGACCACCTTTGCAACACACGCATGCGCCATTTGGACCAATTTATTCTCAAAATAGGAATCAGGGTGGAATCATGTTGTAGAGACTTTTTCCATTCTTATTTTTTCCCTTTTTATTTCTGTGGTGTTAGAGGGCGCAAACATTAGGAGACAAAATTACTTTTAAGAAATCTATGCTGATATGCTGGAAACCTATTGACTGGTTTTCTTTTTTCCCTGCAAAAAGAATACTTCGACTAAAAAATATAGTTCCATGATTTTTAGTGATCTTATCTTTGAAAATATTCGATTAAATACAGATTGTTCATATAAAATTCATAAGTTATGAAAACTTTCAACATTCTTGGTTTCTGGGCTGCAAACCAATGCAAATCTTAGCATTCTGTAAATATTTAAAAAAAGGGGGGAACAAAGGTGCAAAAGACAAATGACAACAGCATTATCCGAATTTGGAGGATTCCTTCTCTTGGTTCAGTGGGGACTTCCCTCCCTGGGTCATATAAATTCCCTTTTTCCGGCCAAGAGAGAATTTTCACGTGACCTCTCACCTTGCAGCAGATAATTAACGCTCTGCTCTTTTGGACAATTCTGTGTGTTTTGGCAAAATGTCAGCCAATGTTGCAATCAAGACGGTCAAACTATACTTTTGCACAAGCTGGTACATGTTTTCTGAGTCATCAGTAAATTTAAACTTGCCTTTTGAGTCCATGCCATACTAAATATTTAAGGATGTAAAATCAGCAGATTGAGTTTGCCAATGTACTGAATCTCCAAGTCATAGTTATTCTGAATTCTGGTTTTGCATCTTGTTAACTATCATTCCATCACCAGAATCATCACCATGTGATTCTCAATATGATGTCACATTGAATGATGAAATGTATATCATTTCAATATTATAAAATCACTGCTTTTAGAAATTTCTGCTGTAGTATTTACTCTCAAGAAGTCATGGGTATTGTCATTCACTACAGGATTTTTAATTATCATAAATTAATTATTTTTCTCTGAAATTATGCACTAAATAGGGAAAAAAAGTTTTATACGGGCGTTGTTTATATCAGTGCTCCGCAACTGGTGTGCCATGAGTAGGATATAGGTGTGCCGCAATCAAATACATGTATTTGACATTTTGCAATTTTTTATCATGTATTTAATACACAGTGACAATTTTTTTCCTTAATAATATCTATTTTAAATGTTTTTATATATTTCACTGTTGTGTGGTTGTGTGTGTGATTGTAAGTGTGTCAGCATTTGAATTTTTTCGGCACTTCCTTGATAACTCGGAACTCTTTGGTGTGCCACGAAATTCCAGAAAGATTTTTTGTGCGTCGCAGGTGAGAAAAGGTTGCGGAGCACTGGTTTATATTTATATAATTGAAAATAAAAAATTTCCTTTAATAAAAAAATTGAGCTTTAAGTGACTTCAAAATCCTCTAAATGAGACATATATAATAACAGTTATTTTTTCATATAAAGTCAGTTAATTTTTACATATAGTATTTCTTTCCAAACCATCTCATTTGAAAGACATTTCACACTATCAAATTAAATATTTCTTCACATATATAATAGCGGAATCTCAGAGTTCTGGGACATACCATATAGTTCTATACCATTAATTGTTTAAAATGCTGTGTACATTTGTTTAAAAAATAATTCCCTTGGGTGATGATATATTTTTTCAATCTTTGCCTAGCTACTGAGAGTGTTGCTACAAACTACTTTTGTGATCATCTGTAATGCACCTTTAGTGCTGTTTTTACCTAACACTTTATCCGCCAATTGTCTATTAATTGGCCTTTTATCGCCGATGCCTACCGACCGATAGCCTATTAACTGGCTTTTTACTCAATTGCCTACCGACTGATAGCTTATTAATCGACTTTTTTCACCAATGCTTACCGACCGATAGCCTATTAATAGGCTTTTTTTCGGCAATGCCTATAAACTGATAGCCTAATAATCAGCTTTTTTTCACCAACGCCTACCGACCGATAGCCTATTAATCGGCTTTTTTCGCCAATGCCAACCAACTAGCCTAGTAATTGCCTTTTTCTCGGGGCTCCCTAAAAATAGCCTATCAATCAGTAGCCATGGCAATAAACAATTGCCATTTGCTATATCATCTGCATTTTATTTTTAGTTTGAGATACATTGCTCACTTGCGTTAAGTGTGTTGCTTCGTAAACTTCCACAGGGTTGCCACGCTACCTGGAAAATCAGAAAAAGTCAGGAAATTCGAAAATTGGCCAAAAAATTCAGGGAAAAGTCAAGGAATTTAAATATTTTAGCCCAAATCTGGATAAATCAGGAAGTTTCATACGGTGATCCCCCCCCCCAAAAAGCAAGTTTTGTGCTGATGTTGGAAGCGATCAGTTTTTTGGCGAATTTTGTACCCGTGAACGTCATTCGCCCAACTGACATAGAGGCAATTTTTGCAGCTCCAATTAGATCGTGTTTTAGAAAGGCAAAGCAAGTTTCCAGTAACCTCGAGAATCAAGAGATGCGCATGCGCATATGCAGTGCATGTTGAACTAAGGAAAATATATATTCTCATATAAAATAAAATCGGTTTAATCCTAGTATAGGATACTATGGAGGTTAGAATAGTTTTCACGTATTCTATTCTAACCTCCATGTATCGTATACATGGGAATTGGAGACATTATGATCAGCAATAAACGGGTCATTTTAGTGTTGCTGACAATTTTCAAAGTCGTGCCGAGGCAGTAGCCGTATACTAGGATTTTACTGCTAAATCTTGTAACCCCCCCTTTTTTTAATAAATACCTTATTTGCCATTTTGCAGTAAAATAAAAAAATAGTAATGAGTTACCTAGGCTAACCATTTAATATAACTATAGTCGCCAAAATGTCGTTTATTATTCTAATTCAATTTTTAAATAATTATCTTTATTTTAATGTTATTCATATCATTTAATGTTGCTTCTTCCCTCTAAATTTATTTATTATTATTAAATAATACTTTCAGATTTCAGGAAATTTTCTCTGCCATAATCCTGAAATTAATTCTAGCAGTGTGATGTCATACCATCATAAAATTTAATGCACACATATTTATTGCTTATGTATGCGAATAAATAAATGCAAAGTACCTGAATTTATTAAAAAATATCTTTAAATAGATTTTTCTTTTGTTTAGCTGCAAAATGTCTGCAAAAAAAAAAAAAAAAAATTAATCCAGATTAAGCAGATTCTAATCTCAGTCTTCAGTGGAGAACTCCTATTATAGTTATAATAGTAATGCTTTGGGTATTATATAAAAATATATATAAGTCATATGTCATTAGCAAATTTTTGTGTTTTCAAGCGGTACCATAATTAATTTACTTCTTAGCACAGCCAATGTCTATTATGCAGATAGACTGGAATTCTCTTAAAACACACCTAGAAATGTCAGGGAATTTCATTCTCCTATTTGAGGGGCAACCCTGTCCCACATTTTCTCACCATTTTTAAAAAATTAACCGTTCACGATGAGCGAAAAAAATGGTACAAGAGAGTTTTATTTAGACGATTTATCAGATTGTCCTGACAGGTAGTTATTCAGGAAGTGATAGTGGTGATGGCAGCGAGAATCTGCAGCTGAGCAACCGTTTGGAATGCTGTTGAACCGCTAGCGGTCGATAAAGTGTTGACAAAAGTGAAAAATGCCTAGATTTTGTTTTATCAGTAGAAAGAGGCTTTTAGTTGAGTAGGCTAGGACTTAAGTACTATTTTAGGCAAGAAACTCTGTGATCTTAAAACTCAGTTGATGGAAGATCATGAAGAAGATACATACATTTAAGATAGATGAAAGGGTTGCAGATGGTGGATAAATAGAGAGGAGGGGTAACGGAGTGCATTTTGTGCAGTGTAACTGTATGCTTTTGTTATCACAGGTTAATACATTTCCTGAATTCTAAGATTCTACTGTGTTATATAAACTGCTGGCCATTAAAGTTTTCACATCAAAGAAGACAGATAATAATAAAAGCATATTTATTTTACAGTTATGAGGATGATCAAATGATTGAAATTTTTAGTAGCTAGGATACACAGATTGTTTAGAGCTCGGTAACACATGTAATGACCATAAGTATCAATTACTGTTGCTGTGTGACCAAACATTGAGTGAAATAACCTGTGGATGGCAGCTTCGGTTGTTTCAGTCTATGAGATTTCCATTTTTGCCAAAATTCATTTGTTATAGCTACTAATATTGGTTTTGTGTCAATTTGTGACCAAGGGCCAAATTTGTTCATTATGTGCTGGCAAAGGTGGAAATAGAGTATCTTATCTATTGAGCAAATGTTGTACATTGTGTGTTGGGTTTTAATTGGGCAGTTTCCTCTTAGTAGATAGCTTCATGGAGGGACTTAAGAAATGGATAGCCTTTTTATGTTAAATATTATTACTCGTTTCCATGGCATGCCTATGTGCTGTATTGCATATTGTATATATGCAGATTTTGGGTTTGTCGAATGCTTTCTTGATTGTGGTATTTTAACACGTTGACTGCTGCACGCATTTGACGTGGTTTGCCCATGACGTCAACTTGAAATTTTTATTATGCGGTGTATATTATGTTGATATATTATCTACAGAAGATAATGTGAGTTATATAATCATGCTTAATGCATTTTTCATGCTGGGGGTCACCGGCAACACCCAAACATCTGTAGACCATTTTTGCGATAATTTAAATTTTTATGATTTTTTATTCTTCAAACCATTATAGTAACAATGGAACTTTTTAAAAATTTATTAGTATCAGTATTTAGTCTAATTATATATTTTATTATTGATCGCGTCCCGGTGGCACCCATAGCACTGTAGCCAAGTCAAGTGCCGGTCAGTATGGATTTATGTTTTGTTTAAAAATGTGATTTTTTATTCTGTTTGTCAAAAATATTCAAGTTTTATTTGTTGTTTTTTGATGAATTTGAAATGAATAAATTTGTATTTTTATTTATCAGATGGCTATGGAGGATGCATGAATAGTCCTATGAATGGACGTTTTGGAGGTGGATTTGGACCAGTTGGTGGGAGATCTTTTGGTGGTACTGGGCATTGTGTTCATATGCGGGGACTACCTTTTAGAGCTATTGAACAAGATATATATGATGTATGTAGCTACATTTTTATATCTATATTGTTGTTTACTTCACATTCTGTACTCAAGTTCTTTTAATTTGCTTTTCATGTCTGAAACTGGGTATTAAAAGTTTAATTAAAAAACTAATATAAAGAAAAGTGTTTAATAATTTATAGAATTTTTATGAATACACCCATGCTTTAATGGTGCATGTGAAGCTTGTTATAAAATGTAAAGTAATTTTGAATTGTAAGATATAAAGTATGAAATGTAAAATTTTAAATAACTTAACCATTAGTCAAAAGTATCTAAATCTTTTTCTCTTGAACATTTCCTGAAATGACATTTTATTTTCACTTAACTGAATGCTTTTATTAAGTATTTAAATTTTTAATTTTAAATACTTCATTGAGTACTTTTTTTCCCCTACCATTGTATTTTGCATAAAGTTTAAAAAACTTACTAAATAATTCCTTCCATTCTTCCTCCTTTATCGAAACAGTTACATGAATAGCGAATTAAACAGCAGAAAAGTTACCAGTTCTGTACATCTAGATAGTGATGAGTTATTGTCTATTAAATTTTTAGTTAGAACTCCAGAATTGTAGTTTAAGGCTATAAAATTTTTTATTTTTTTATCCAGATGAATAAAAATTCAACTGCATCTTTGGCAGACTTTGGACTGCAGATCTTTCAGTTACTTGCTGAATGTACTAACCATTTACAGCACATTTGCATCTGCAGGGAAATGTGATTATTTATTACAAGTTTTTAGTTCATACTAGTTCGAATTCTTAAGGAAAGGCTGCAAGCAAGGTTATGAATTCAATATCTCTAGCAAAGGCAGTTATATCGTGTTAAAAGAATAAACTTTTGTATACATAATTTTATTGCATATTATTTTGAATTATTTTGCATTGTTCATCAAAGAAAATGCTCTCGCAACTGGTGCTAATGTCCCAGGTAAGCAGAAGACATACTCAACAATCTTTTTCAGATTGGGGACTGCTATGTGATTCTCCTTGAAGTTATCAAACAGCCTGACTCATTTTTCTTCACTTGAAGAAATCACATTTTTAGTAGACTCTTCTTGCTTCCACTGTTCCCAATTTGACTGCAAAATACTCCTTAGCAAGCACAACTTAGTCAAACAGTTTGGCTAAAGTGCAGAATCACCCACTTATTTGGCGCGTTGTGTTTGGCGCTTTATACGAAATTGATAAGTGTGTCAAATGTGGTACCCAATTCGATTTTGCCTTTCTGGAAGGCGAATTTCAGAGCATTTTCGTGCATGCGTAGTATGTCAAAGGTAGTTATTATCATGTGTTAAAAGAATAAAAATTTTGTATGCATAATTTTATTGCATGTTATTTTGAATTATTTTATTTTTTATTCACCTGGTATGGCATGAAAATACTCTAGCCTTTTGAATGATTTATGATCATTGTGGAAATTATTTTTTTTACAACTCTTGCATTTAAGCTTTTGCAACTGTAATTTATTTTTAATACATTTTCTTTTTAGTAATATTTATTCCATAATTCATAAAAGTGTATTATGAACTACGATAATGTTTTTCATCCTTTTGTGAAATTTTATTGTGAAATTAAAATTGTAGCATTTCAGATCTTTTAATTTTCTGTTTTGGGTTATTGCTTGAAAGCACCAGACAAGCTGTTAAAGCACACTGAAAAAAAAGCACATAATTGCATATGACGCCATTGTATGTCAAAATTTTTCATTAATATCAGCATTTTAAATAAATAGCTGCTGTTTGAACTTTTTTTTGTTTCAGGTTAGTATAATTGACACGATATATTAATGACACATTAATTCTTTTATTGACTTTGAGAAAATGTTGTTATATTACATTAAATTTTAATTTTGACGTCCTACATATTAACCTGTGATTTGATAATAAAAAAATTATTTACGAAGTGGTTGTTGCTTGGAAAGAATGAACTGGTATTATTCGTACTGAAATATTTCTTTACATTTGATATCTACTGAAATGTTTCTATACCGGCCTTGCCCGCTAGTTTTAAAATTAATTATGGACATAAATTCAAGATTAATATTGAAAGGTAACAGAATAGGCATCAAAAGTAGGGATTATTTAAAAGGAACAGAAATTGTCGGGATTCATAATTCCCTGATTATTATGAAAAGAGAGTATGGAACAAGCACAGAAAATGCTAAATAATTTCATAATAAATAAAATAGACATTCAATTTTACAATCAGATTTTATTAATGTAGTATATTTTTATTAAAAGTACCTGTACGTATAAAAAAATTACCTTTACATTTGGTGGGTTAATAAAAAAAATTTAATGGGGATTATAGATATTCACATATTAAGTGGTCATTCTACTGTGTATGTTATGAAATAACTGATTTCTTTTTCAATATATATTTGGCTTTCACTATATTTCTAAATTCACCCTTGTTGCAGTATGTACTAATTAGTGATTAATTATGATTAATAATAGGAGTGTAATAAAAATATAAGCTAATCCTCCTTAGAAAGTCTTTCACAAAGATATTCTTCCCAATGTAACAAACTTTTGTGTACTTTGTTGTTATATCTTGCCTTCCTACCTGCCTTTAAACATGATAGTTCAATTATATTCAGTAACTATATGCTTGTTGATTTTTTCACATTATTACCACTTTTTAATTTAAACCTTTTTATGTCAGTTTTTTAGGCCTTTAAATATTTCGCCTGTGAGTGTCCGTCTACGTAATGACAGAAGTGGCCGTCCATCAGGAGAAGCCGATGTTGAGTTTGCCACTCATGAAGATGCTGTTAAAGCTATGACAAGAGACAAAGCAAATATGCGTAAGTAATCTAATGAAGTGTCAGTTATTTGGGCAAATTAATCACAAGTGTGCTCAAATAATCATACCATAGTCAGAGAACCCTCGTATATTTGGTTGTAATTAATTAAGTGCATCAAACATTTATAACATTCAACTTTTTATTGTGTTCACAGTCAACTTCCATCATAGTGAGTAGTATTGACCACATGTGCTGTTGGCTTCATTTAGAGCTAGTTTCTTTCATTTTTTAAATGATTGAGTGTGTTAAAAAAGTTGATGAAAAGCAATTCCCCCCCTCCCCCCATGCACGCACACTTTGGTGTGGCATCTAATTATATTTCATGATATTTTATAATTGTAGTTTAGAATTACATTCTACTTATGTACTTTTAGATATATGTTACAAATTTAATTATGAAAAATTAGATAAACTTAGGACTGTGTGTAGAATGTTTTGACAACTTTATTTTAAAGCAATAACCATTATTTGTACTTCTTTTCATTTTCTCATAAAGCTTTTCATTTCCTTTATGAACTTTCATGTGATAAATAATGTTTTCATCATTTAATATATTTATGAAAACATACTTAAAAACTTAATGAATTATATCAGAAAATAATAATAATAAAAAAACTGCAACTGAACAACATAAGAGTAGTAGGTGCATCCTAGCAACAGAAAATTATAAAATGTTGCTATCAATTCTGCCAACTCTGATCAGGGCCACATTTTTTTTTCCTTGATAATAGTTTATCATTAAGCCCACAGATTGTACAAAAATTAATGAAAATGTGTTGTCATAAAATACACTGCTCGACATTGAAAATGCAACACCAAGAAGGAGTGATCAGAAAGTGATGAAATTCGGAAAAAAGACAGAGAAAGCAGCAATAAGCGATCTTTATTTCAAAATGATAATCAGAATACAGAGCGAGAAAGACGCCGGTTCAGTAGGATATAGGACACCGCGGACAGCGATGCACGAAGAAACACGTCTAGGCATAGAGTCATTAAGAGTGCGAATGGTATCCTGAGGGATGGCTCTCCATTCCCTTTCAACCATTTGCCACAGTTCGTCTTCTGAATGAGGCAGGGGCAGAGTCTGCAAACGGTGTCCAATCACATCCCACACATGTTTGATTGGTGATAGGTCAGGAGAGTATGGTGGCCTGGGAAGCATCTGTATACCTTGCCGAGCATATTGGCAGATGCGAGCACTGTGTGGTCGGGCGTTATCCAGCTGAAAATTTGCATTAGGCAGCCCCTGAAGGTAGGGGATTGCCACCGGCCACAGTACATTATCCAAGTATCATTGGGCCATCATAGTGCCCTGAATGTGAACTAGAGGTTACCTGGAATCATAGGCAATAGCACTCCAAACCATTATGGCACGTTGTCGCGCAGTGAGGCGTTCCACAGTTACTGCCGGATTAGATCCGTCTCCACGTCCACGCCACATACATACGTGGCGACTGTCACTGGATAAACAGAAGCGTGACTTATCTGAGAACACAACATTTCACCGTTCTGTCATCTACATCGCTCCAGTCCAACACCATTCTAAATGTTCCCGTCTATACTGTAGGGTCAATGGCAGTCTTCTTAACAGAAGCCATGAGTGCAGGTTACGTTCAACTAATCGACGGGAAATGGTTCTGGTCAACACGGGAATATCCAAGGTATCTTACGCGTGCTGCAGAATCGTGGTACAAGTGACTTGCGGGATCCCCACAGCTTGTCAGAGGATGCGTTGATCCATGCGTGCTACCGTCACTCTGGCTGCACCTGCACCCCTTCTTCTTCCCACATTTCCTTGTTCCAACCATGTTCGCCATAGCCGATGCGCCGTGCTCGCATCCATGTGGGTATCACCTGCGATTTGACGTAAGGACCAACCCGCCCTTCTCAGTCAATCACCATACCCCTTGTAAAATCTGGCTGGAAGTGCCTTCGTTGATGGCGGCCTGGCATTCTCTCCAATTGCACGTATCCTCCGGGACAAAAACCAACTTTCTTTCATAATTCATCTGGCAGAAATAACGACATGAATATTGCCCATTCTGCACGTTCCTTCCCTTATATCTTACTTAACATGCGTCGGAGAGCTGCGCATTTCACATCATTTGCATAACTCAGTGACGTGCGTCTATTCCAAAATTTGCATAAATTTCTGACCACCCCTTCTTGGTGTTGCATTTTCAATGTCGAGCAGTGTATATACATAACACAAGCAAGATATTTTTTTTTTGATTGGCCACTAGGCCATCACTCATGTCAGAGATGGCAGTGAGTGTGTTAAGATGCAATATTTGCATATCTCTTGAACCTTTAAAATTCAAAGTTAATTATAAGGAGGCATTTAATTTAGGAATGCTAATTACTTTTTCAAAGAAGTCGTTTTATAAAATTAAGATAAGAAACATGTCATATACAGTAAACCCATGCTAAATGCAGATTTGTGGAAAGATTTGTTATGTGTTATCTTAATTGTCTCCATTTAATTTATCTAACATGGAATTTCAAATACATGCAATGCGCTGTAGAACATCAGCTATGTTGTTGCAGTAGTCAAATTTTGCTTAGAACAGAAAAATCTGAATTTTAAAATGCTCTTAATTCTTGATAATGCTTCAAAATGTGGTGCTAAAGCCCTTACAAATATTGCATCCAAATGCGGAGTCGAACATCATCACTTCTTTATCGAAACAATAGATCAAGAAATCATAAAGTCATTAAAATTATGTCAGGCATATTTATACATTTCTGAACCACGGAGGAAAGCACAACACACTAATGGTATTTTGGAAACATTTCATCTTAAGAGATTGCAAAGAAAATATGTTGCATGAGAACATATGAATTATTCCTCAACTGTAAATACTTGTTAGCATTAACTCTGGCCGGAAATTGTCAACACTTTTAAAGGATTTCTATCAATTAAAAATGAGACCAAGGAAATTGCACAAATCACAAAAGCAATAGGCAGCAAAGGATTTTCAGGTATGGAAGGAGAAATCAAAAAATGATTCGAGAATGATGATTATGAAATAACAATTGGTCGATCTTATAACATTATCAGACTATGAAAACAACAATAGTGAAGAAGATAAAGAGCCTTAATGCGCAAAAATTTAAAAAAAAATTGTTTAAAAAAAAAAAAAAAAAAAAAAGAGGCTGGCACAGAAACAGTCAGAATTTGTAATGGAGATTGACCTAAATTAAGAAAGATGAGAACAACACTTTATGAGGGGTATTGAACACTTTGCACTCCTTACAGTGAAACATCTAATGAGTTGCATCAGACATTGTCCCAAATAAAATTCACCAGCTATTTAAAAAAATAATAATTGTATCATATACCTAATTATTAAATAGTATTTGATAGCGTTTCATTTAATGTCTGTTTAATTTTTCCTTTTTAATTACAATTCTGCTTAATTTTGTACAAATGATACATATTTTTGTAATCTTAACTCTACCTAAGCTATTTTTTTTTTTTTTTTTTTTTTTTCCCATAGAAAGTTAACTTTGTTGCCATTTTGCCGCATACACGATGTGTTAATGAAACCCTTGCCAAATGCAGGAGTTAAAGTGCATTTGGCAAGGGTTTTACTGTATGAACTAGAAGTGTAAATTTAAAATTTTTATTTTAATTATTTTATTCTCGTGTATTTTAATATCTATTAAAATCCAGTTATTAATTACAGAGCACAGATATATTGAACTTTTTTTGAATTCTTCGTCTAAGCCAATGGGAGCTGGACCTGCACCATATGGAGGAAATAATCGTTATGGAGGTATTCCATCTTTATTTTTCTAATCTTTAATGTTAAAGACTCTCATATTTATTGATAGATTTGTTTTAGATCCTTTTTGTTCATTTAAAAAACTATCCTAAATGAGTTTACAATTTCTTTTTTCACTATAACTTATTTATTAAATCAATGAACTTCTCTTTTTCATATTGAGAACATAAAACTCTGGTCTGAAAAGAAAAAGTTCCAAACTTATCATTAGCTATCTTTTTCTGTAGCTGAAATTTGTTTCTTTAAATGACAAGCAAAATCCCCTTTAAAGTTTTCTGCATTTTTATCAGAATTTTCTTATTGTATATATCTATCATATTTTAATAATGTGTATTCCCATAATTGTTTCATAAGAAATGATAGGAATTGTCAACAGTATGATTTAAAAGCATTAAACACATGAGAATTCACTTCATTCGTTCATGTGTTTGCATAAAATTGCAATTTTGTTTAATGATTTTTTGTTAGCATTTCTTTATATATGCTACCCATTCTTTATGAGCAAATAGTCATCTTAAACTGATAAGTTTTGAAAAATGGCAATATGAAAACAAAGTATAAATTGTAATAGAGAAATTTATCAAAATTTTATTCATTAAACAAATCTATTATTTTTTCAATTAGATAATTGAAGTTAAATAATCTTTGAGGTTATAGGCTTGCTTAAACTTGAGCACTGCTACATAGAAGAAATATAAATGCGATAAACTCAGTTTCTGATTCTATTCAAAAATTATTGTTGTTTATATATAGTTTTTTTGTGTAATTTTGAAATAAAAGCTGTGTCTTAAAAAAGAATAAAATATTCTTAAGTTAACTGACATTGATTTCTAGATTAATGTGATTTTTCAACAGTCTTCTCTTTTCTTATTGTGCTTTGAAAGAAGTGCAGTGTTTTCACTTAACATATAAAGTACGAGGGTCACTCTGAAATTTTTGAGATACACTTAGGTTATAAAGTTATGAAATTTTAAGAGTGTTCAAAGTAGTCTCCTCCAGCATCAATACACTTCTGTAGGAGAATTTTCCAAAGATTAAGTGCCTCAAGCCATTCATTTCTTGGAATCAATGAAAAAAGTGCATTTTTGGTTTCATCAATCTCATCTTCAGAATAAAAACGACATCCATGTAGGTTCTTGTTTAGATAAAAAAAAAAAAAAATAGCTAAATCAGGTGAATAGGGTGGATGTTCTATCCCATTGATGTGTTTTTGTTCAAGAAACTCAATTTTTAATCTTGCTGAATGAGAAGATGCATTGTCATGGTGAAGCATGAATTCTCTAACATTCACTTCTTTAACAATTTCTGGAAGACATTTAGTGGTGTACTAGGTGACAGTGACTGTCTGCTGTCCTTCAGCTTGATGGCTTTCTGTACTTCTGAAGAAAATGGCATACATTAAATTACTATTTTCATGGCATATTGCCTTTCACCATTGTGGGTGGGGGGTTATATTCAAAGACTCATACTTTACTTTCTTGACATGTTGGAACATAAAGTGGTATATACGTTTTTTCACCGGTTATGATTTTAGAAATAATGCGATGACCACCATTTTTAAGTAATTTAAGGGGTTCTTCATTGATTCTGACATGGTCCTCTTTTTATGTTACATTATGGGAAACCCAACGGCAAACTAGTTTTTTCATATACAATTCTTCATGAGTAAGTTTACGTGTCACGATAGATCCAGTGATAAGTTGCTTCTGTATCATTTGGTAGGTGCAGTGATTATCATCGATTAATATTTATCATATGGCAAACACATTTTCCGGTATTACTGCTGACTAGGTCTGTGTGTTCTTCATCCTGAAGAGAGTTGCAATCTCTATGAAATTCTGTAAACCATCTTAATACAGTAGCACAAGATGAGCTTTCATTTCCAAATGCTAATTGTAGACATTAAACACATTCTTCTTGATTTAATCCCACTTTAAAATCATAGCTTGATAATGTTCTTGTGTCAACTCCAGTTTTTCTTCTGCCTAAAACTTATTTTACTCTAAATTACATGCAGTTGGCCAATAAAAAAATGTCTGTTGAGCTAGAAGCAGTTCATATTTTCAAATCTAACCATTATTTTTTTTTTCTTCCATTTATCATCTGCATGTATCTAAAAAATTTCAGAGTGACCTCTGTATTGTTCTGTCCAATTCAGAGACATGATGCTGCCTTTAAAACTGATGGATGAAATTATAGGATCTTAAAAGCTACCCTTGGCAACAATTGTGATTTTGCAAAAATATAAATATATTTCCCACATGCTGTTGTAGTTTAACAATTTTTTTTTTTAAATTTTACAATTTTTAAAGTGTGAATACTTTTTAAATTATTAATTGGAAACTCTCCTTAAGCTTTTAGATTATAATCTGATGTCCTAAAATTGTTTTTTGATTTTCTTTTTCTTTTGGGAGTTCATGTCTTGTCATTCATTCATTCGCTTATTGTATCTTCTAGAATAGTATTTTTTTTTTTTTTTTTTTTTTTTTAAGCGGGCTGTAATGCTTGTAATACAATTTTAACCCGACATAAATAGTCATAATATTGATAATTATTTTCTTATAAATAGTGTCTCCAAATATACAGCTTAAATTAATGCTGTGTTTTATAACAAAATTTTAAAATGGCATAACTTTTAAAGTTACGCTGGCCTCCTTTTTGGGGGGTATATGTATGTGTTCGTGTGTGTTTTGTAAAATTCTCTCCAAAATGATATATCATTTACTCTAAAAAATTGGCTTCAGATGATTTCAGTTCCAATTGTCAAAAGTCTTAATGTTAAATTGCCAAGTGTTTAAATATAATGATCCTTAGATTGTCATTCTTAATGATTGTATACATAGATACATAGATTAGTATGTTCCTGTTATATGAGCAACATTTATCAAGTTGGAAATCTTAAATGTGTTAGCCAGTTATACAAAATTATACAACATAAAATAAATTCCTTAATACTGAAAAGAGGAATTTTGTAGATTATACTTCAATCGAAAGTCTTGCAGTAGACGTGCACTCTGAGCATATGATCTGATTTACTTTCTATAGATAATGAGTTATAAATTACTTTGAAAATGATTCCATAATGAAATCATACCATTTTGCAAATTCAAAATACTTGCATTGCTTTGAAACCTATTAGAAGGGACTACTAAATTCATGAAATAGAACTAGTCATATCTATGCTGTACTTTTAAACAAAGCTATAGGATAACCTTCTCTGTGCTGAGTTTTTTTTTTTTTTTTTTTTTTTTTTTTTTTTTTTTAAGTTTAAACATATAGTGTGGCCTCTTTTATGGACAAATAACTTTAAACTTTCAGTTAAAAGCGCATTTTTGTAGTACTTGGAAACTCAATTACAAAAATGCAAACAAAATTATTTACTTCATTGAACATTCTTATCATTAATCACCTTTAAAGAAAAGGAGTCCTTAGTCTTAGCTGCATTCAATATTTATTTATTTATTATGTTTAAGAGAAGAAGATGGATAAAATTGCTCTTGGTAAGTGGGTGGTCTCTGAATATGGCTGACTGTAACTTCATTGGCCAGTTTCCAAGAATCTAAGTATATTGTGGATATGTCATTTAAACTATTAAGTATCAAGGCAGAAGACTGTGTGAATTGTTCCATGATTTAGAGGATATCAATGAATATCTATTTTTGCTGAAGAACAAAACTAGCTTAATACACTCTTTTGCAAAAAAACGAAGCACCAAGAAGGACTTTTGCGATTGTGACGACATTTGGTATGCAAAAACATCTTGATTGAACATGCAAATGATCAAAGTTTCAAGGCAAATGAACAGGAATTGCAATCATAGCACGCATTTCTAGTACGCAATTCCCAAACTATAAAACCAGTAACAGAGGCAGAAAATTTATCTTCTTTTGTTGCTGCCATTGTAATTCCGTAAAGAAACAACTAAAGATGCCATTACGACGATATCAAAGACCTTGCACACAACTAAAAGATTTCAAACATGGTCGCATTGTAGCTGTGTGTTGCGTGAAGCTGGTTGCTCATACCGAGCAATAGGCCGCCACCTGCAGCATATGGACACTGCTGTGCAAAGAAGTTGGCAGCAATGGTGCTGCAAGGAAATTGCCGACGAAATGAAGGCTCTGGAAGGCCAAGGAGCACAAATGTGAGGCAAGATAAGAGGATTGTTTGCCAGGCCCGAACCACCTCAAAAGGTATCATTGTCGACTATTCAACGCACTATAGACCCATCTATACCTCCCGTGGTACCGTCCAACATCTCACTGCATTTGTCTGAGGCAGTGTTACTCTCACAGAGGACTTCAAGACATTGCCTTTGAACCCACAACATTGGTGGAATCGTCTGGAGTGGTGTTGCAGCCAATCATCATGGTTGCGAACAGACTGGCATCATATAGTGTTCAGTGATGGATTCCGCTTCACTCTTGAAGCAGATGACCACCTGTTCGTGTCTGGAGAGGACGGGGCCAGTGATCCCAATCAGCCTTTGTTTTACAAAGGCATACAGCCATAACCTCTGGTGTGATAGTGTGGGGCTCTATTTCCTATGACAGCAAGTCATCTTTAGTCATCGTGTGTTCATCTTCAACAGCTCAACAGTATGTTGATACCATCATGCTGCCGGTTGCATCACCCTTCATGGCAGGTCATCCTGGGGCCATTTTCCACCAGGATAATGCCAGGCCACATACCACTCACATATCTCTGGATTGTCTCCGTGTGGTTAATACCTTTCATCAATTGAGCATGTCTGAGACATGGTATGCCGCCAGATTTGGGCACAAAATATTGCAGATCTGGAGCGGCAACTGATGAATGCGTGGCAGAATGTGTCGCAGGATGACATTAGGAACCTCTACCACTCCTTGCTTCGACGAATTCAAGCATGCATTGCCACCAGGGGCAGTTTGACCAGCTACTATTTGAACACTCACTCAGTGGGTGATTGTAAGCCGTGAACAGGTACTATGACCTAGATTTTTTAATCATTT